GTGTTCTCTGGTAAGTTGGCCTTGGCATGTTTGGAGGGATTGCTTGTAGCCTTGACTGGTTAAATACGTGGATGGTACTGAAATTGGCTTCACACTGTTAATTTGGTATTCCTCATTGCTATTAGCAGAGCTGAGTAAAAAGAGATTCTTTTATGCTACCTCCAACCCAAAAAAGAGTCCTCGTTTTCTTTTCGGGACGTGCCAAAAAAGCTTCATCTTTCCATAAAATCAAATGTTTATAAGTTGATTTCTCTTTTATGCCCTTGACTTTTTTTCATTATTTACCCTTTATTTCCACCACTACCCGACCTCCTTTCTCCATTCAAATGAGGGTAGTATGGGAGAGTCAACCACGTTTAGCACTTTTTTAATCTCCATTCAAATGTTGGGACATGGGGGGTATTATTTTCTGGTTATTTGCCGTCTTCATGATACCTGTTTTGGATCTTGGAAGCTAATTTCTGTTTCATGAGCTATGTCACATGTTTGTGAATACAGCTTCCTTTTCTTGTTTTCACCTAATTTTTTTCTAAATTTGGCTGAACAGGTTGATTATGCATGCACACCAGAGGAAGTTCAGCAGCACTTCCAGACATGCGGTACTGTGAATCGAGTTACTATTCTAACAGATAAGTTTGGTCAGCCTAAAGGCTTTGCATATGTGGAGTTTCTTGAGCAAGAAGCCGTTCAGGAGGCACTTCAGTTGAATGAGTCTGAGCTGCATGCACGTCAGTTGAAGGTACACTGTCCTGGAAACTCTGTTAAGTCCCACCCCTAGGGCCCTATAACTGCCAGAAATGGCAAACCAACTGAAGGGAGGTGTAGGTCTTCTATGGTTTTTGGCATTGAGGGAAATGGATGAAGTGAGGAGATACCCTCTCCCTCTCCCCCCCCCCCTCTCTCTCTCTCTCACTCTCTCTCTGCAAAACGTGAGTCAAATGAATGAATAAAGAGAAGAAATCACTCCCCTCCCTCCAAAATCACCATCTTTTTTAAATTATACTCCACACCCAAAAACAAGGGTCATATTCTGTTAAAGTGTAAAGTTCTGCTTTTGATGAAGGTACATGTCTTAAATGTCATGTAATCCTACATATACAGTTATACTTGTAAGTTTTTCAATTAGCTAAAGTTATAATGTTGAATAATTTTTTTTAATTTTGAAATTTACATGACTGTACCTTCTAGGTTATGAAAAAACAGTAATTTTTTTACAATAATTTTTTTTGAAATACAACTCATATTTGTTTTGTTAGTATGGAGCATCTCTATTTCATTTGTAATCCAAACACGAGAATACCTTAATCCTTTTTATAATTCTCTCCTTTCACCTCCGTTACAAGCTCTTTATCTAGTCCAAATACAGTCTTTATCCCCACCACCACCCACCCACACACTAATATGCTCTGAAGTCTGAACTTTTGTCTTGTGGCCATCTTAATGATCTCATTATGTGTCTGCTTTGACTGCTGACCAACTAAATACCTGCAGGTCATGCCCAAGAGAACCAATGTTCCCGGAATGAAACAATTTCGAGGAAGACGATTCAATCCTTATATGGGGGGATACAGGTTTAGGAGGCCTTATGTACCTGCTCCATACTTCTACCCCCCTTATGGATATGGGTAAGCATTTTTTCTCCATTAGTCTCTACTCCAATTCTATAAAAGATGTAATGGGTGTTTCTCTGTGCTTATAATCTGGTCTAAATGGCTTTTAATTTGTTTTTACTAACTTTTAAATCAACTGACATATTTCTCTATGCTTATAAGCTGCGTAGAAGTCAGAAAAAGTAAGTAGGTCTTATGTACTTATTTTTAAGCCAGTTTTTCAAAAGTTCCATTTTGACCAGATTATTTACAAAACTATTTCTCACCATTTATGAATTATTCCCAAACAACTTATCTATCATCTAAGTCATTTTATTTTCACGAAAAAATATTTAACTTATAAACAACTTGTAAGTTAAAAGCTGCTAATAAGCAATAAGTCAATGGTCTTGTTTGGGAATAGGGTTTTCGCTTAGCGTTAGCATTTTGGATCAAATTTTAATGGTGTAAATTTATTTCGAAAACGCTATTGCTAAACTCTATCGTGAGATAGCCTTTTTAATACGCCAATGTTAACCCTAACGCTGATGCCAAACAGGGCCAATAAACACCAGCACATAACATCCTCTGTATCTTTTATTTTGGGACAATGAGAGGATTCCTTTCTGTTTTTTTAATCTCGTTTTATTTTGCAGGAAGGTGCCTAGGTTCAGGAGACCATCGCCATACACTCCATACTGAAGAAGCAAGACATAAAAGAACATATGTGTAACCACTTGGCTTTCATTATTAAGCCTTCTGTTCTTTGTGCCATTTAATAATGTTAACCCACGCCTATCCCTTACAATTTCCTCTTTTTCCCCCTGGTGAACTTTATATATATATTTGGTCATCTTTCTGTACCTTGGAGAATTTTCCTCATAGTTTGAAGAACATTTTATTCATCCACCCTTTCCTGTTAATTTTACCTAGCAGTAAAAGTCTTCATTTTGGGTTATGTTTTCCTGAGAATACAGATTTTACCTTGTTCTTATCAATTACCGTACTGTATAAAATTAGAAGTCACAGTTATTTATTCGCTAATTTGGCCTGTTTGGAAATGATATTAGAGATTAACGTTAGCGTTTTGAAAAGGCAATCTATGGACAACATTAGAGTTTTTCAATGTAATTTGCATCGTTGAAATTTTATCCAAGACGTTAACGCTAATCTGTAACATTATTTTCAAACAAGTCAAGAACTCTTTAGGAAGTTTTTTTTGAAGGCTTTCGTAAGATTTTTAGTAACAAAGAGAATAAATCTCACAAATTGAAATATACTCTCACGGAGTATAAAACTAAAGTAGTCCACAAAATAAAATCTTAAAAGTAATACTCCATTCAAAAATCATACTGTGTTTTGCTCACAATAAGAATGAAACATGACTGATACTTTACCAAGTAATAAATAAAAATTACTCTCTTTGTTTCATATCTTTCATCTTGTTTGAAACATTATGTTAAATTTTATTTCTTTTAAATTAATTTTCTTTATAAATTAGTATAGAAATTAAAAATATGTAGTACAAATTACATCATTCAAAAATTTTATCAAACAAGATATAAAAATAATATTTTATTTTATGAAATGATCAATGTAAATATTAATACCAACATAAGCTATTGAAAGGTCATAATAATTACTCCTTCCGTTCTAAAATGATTTCTCAGTTTAATTTAATTTATTTGATTATAAGTGTAAAATTAAAAAATAAAAATTATATATTTCAAAACTACATCAAAAGTTCTACAAAACGAATGTGAGACATGACTAAATTATTTTATCAAATAACTATAAAAAATAGGTTAAGAAAATAATTAAAGTTTGACCATTGAAATAGTGACGGGAAAGATCATTTTAGAATGGATGGAGTAATAGAAAGAAGGATATGATGCTGAAGGAGTACTAAAAAAATGTTGGACAAAGTATTATAGAGCTCTATGTACTATTTAAAAATGTTTAAATTAGTACATGTATTCAAAATCAAAACAATGTAATGTATTATTCTTTTTGTTCAATTAGGTCATTCTCTTCACTTTTCTCTTATTTATTATCCCAAGTTCTTAGCGATAACGCCTGATTTTACTATGGATGGCATGAAACTATTGTCTTGACATGTTACTTTATGCTTATTTAAAAAAAGGTTTTTTTACTAAGAACAATATACATTTATTTTATAAAAAAAAATATTTTTGTATGTAATGACTAAAATTAGATTAAAATTAAATTATTATACTAAACAATATTTTCATGTAATCTATAATAAAATTAGAATTTATCGCTAAGAATTGGAAACAAAAAATAAAAGAGAAAAGTGAAGATAATGATCTAAAACAAAAAAAATAGTACGTGGACTAATTTATTTTAGTTTTGAGTACAGAGACTAGTTTAGACATTTTTAAATAGGGCCCGGTTCCATAGTCACTGGATTCCAGTGGCCACGGAAGTCACTGTCCCCCTACGGATTTTCGTTCATAAAATTGATGATTCCTACCCCTTCTAACCCCCCGGTAAACTCCCCCCGCCAAGTCCCGACCCAGACTAATCACCTCTACCTACGTCAATTGCACCTCGTAAGTATAAAGTCAAGACTTTTGACTTTAAAGTCAATTATACTTACGAGATGCAATTGACGTAGGTATGGTGATTAGTTTGGGTCGGAACTTGGCAGGGGTTTTACCGGGAGTAGAGGGGGTAGGAATCATGAATTTTATGAACAGAGATCCGTAGGGAACAGTGGCTTCCGAGGCCACTGGAACCCAGTGGCCATGGAACCGGGCTCTTTTAAATAATACATGAACCTCTACAATATTTTGTCTAGAAAAAAAGTGCATAAAATTCAACAAAAAAACAACAAAAGTTTAACCAAGCTAGGAAATGTACAGTAATTTGTGTGCACGGTCACTCCGAGGGAAAGAGTGAACAATATAATGGGCGGGAGAAGGGGTTGTGATCCTCGCTAAAGTGCAGTGAAGGAAAGCCATGGAAGAGCTAAAGAAGCTACAGAAGCTACAGAGCATGATCGGAACGATGCAATCTTTCGGAATCATCGGCTCTTCCGGCGAACGCGATTCGTCCTCCATTCGCTTTCTCGCCGATCTCGCCCTCCTCTTGGTAACCCTTTTTCTCATCTGTTCATAGCTTCTTCCACCTATCTTCCCAATACAATTCCTAGGGTTTTGACATTCGTCTGGGGATAAGGTCGAAGAATGCTGCGAGCTGAAGATTGAGACGAAATGTCAGCTAGTGCTCGAACACCTTCCCAAGGTTTGCAATTTCCATTAGGTTATTGATTGATTTTTTTTGTATATACATTGGTTGTATGTTAGGGTTTGTTTGGTACACGGAATTGATGGAATTGGGAGTTGAAACTCTATAGAATTGATTTGAATGGAATTGAATTCTCCAATTCCAACTCATTTTTGGCACTACCAATTCCAAATCTACATATTTTTGTGCTACCAAACAGCATAATTGGAATTGTTGTTCTCAATTCCAATTTCATAGTTTGAATTCCGTGTACCAAATGAAGCCTTAGTGTTACAGAGAAACTTAGATTTTTTGTTGTTCCTTTTCACAGTTCTCGCGGGATTTCTTTGAGGAAGCATCCAAATGCGTCTCCGAGAAAAAATCATTTCAGAAGCCAATGAATGAAGATGGTTCTCACTTTTTCTATTGAAACTATTTCATTTTATTACTTTGAGGTTGATGGACTTGGTATTTTAAAAAGTGTATCAATAGGGTTAGTAATTGGTCATGGGTTGTAGATGTATAATGGAGCATTTATGTGTATACATGAACTTTTAGGATGCACTTCGGGTTTTGCTGCAGTTAATGGACAGCAGTTATACATAGTGTTGGATATAACAGAAAAGGTTTTGCACATAAAAGACATTGAGTAGACTACTCTGACTTTTAAAGTTTAAAAGGGTAATGTAGGAAATTAGATTTATATACAACAACAACAACAACAACAACCCAGTTAAATCCCACAAGAGTAGGGTCTGGGGAGGGTGTGTGTACGCAGACCTTACCCCTACTCGAAAGTAGAGAGGCTGTTTCCAAAGAGACCCCCGGCTCAACGTCGAAAGTTGCATTGCTTGACTAACTGCTACTTCATTAATTAAAGAAGCGCAGACAGTTTACAAATCCATTTTGATTTATTCCATCACACCCCAAAGCCAAAAAATGGTGAAATTTTGGCTCCATCGGAGATGATGGAAAAATTAGATTTATATGTAGCGTTAAATTTAGGAAGGTGGGCAATGTTTTGAGACATACAGATTACAGACTAAGGAAATTACATTCTTTTCATAATGGAGGGAAATTTTTACTGAAAGATGTCACCCTGGTATAGAGTGTGAAATTTCACTTGAAATGTTCATAGTAAAATCTTATTCTGTGGCAGGTAATGAAGCCATCCGAAATACTGGCACTCTTTGCTGTGATGATAAGGTGGGCATCGGTAGGAAACACATGGCTGTTGAAGATGTTGCTCTGATTGGTCTGGATGCCATCCAAAATGCGAATTCTACCTTAGAAGATTTTGTAAGCAGTCGCTACCTTATACTCCGTTGTATATTTCATTAGATATTAGTTAGATTGCATTGTGGATGACTAAATTTTGAAGTATAAGTGATTTTATAGGAGGGAAAGTACTTTTGCATTAAAAAGAAGTGCTTGGCAATGTATCAAAGAAAGTGATTTCAATTCTAAAAAAGCTCTTTTTGTTCTTATTTAAGAAAGCACCATGCTGGAGTTTTATATATATATATAAACAATAGCACTTTCATTGCATAAACAAGAATACAGTTCTTATGAAAATACTTATAGCATAAGTTATCTCACACAAGCTCCTTTTCTCTCTTGAATGTCTTATCACGAATATTTTAAACTTGGATCAAGTGCATTCAATTTTCTTCACAACTAGTGAGTAGTTGCAACAAAGGCATGATCTGTGAATCTGCTTTGCACTTACCAGTGCAGGTCATACTTCATGTTTCATGGAATTGATGCTTGCCAACCTCAGTCAATATTCAAATACCTACCAATTCTTTCATTTACTGAAAGTTTTATCTATCAGGTAATTGTTGTTCTGACAAGAAAAACTCTATATGTTAATGAGCTCCTTATGGTTGCATTGTTTTATAAGCATAATATTGATACGGTGTAACACTTTAAGTCTCTCTTTGCACCACAAAAACATGCAAGTGTTAATCTTGATTTTCAAGGAACAGTTGGATTCCCTTTCATTTTCACAATGTTCCTTACCTGGCCTATACTATTGTCTTATTCACAATATTTCACCTATAAGTAAAGAATTTGGTTTGTGTGAACAGTTATGCATTGTTTTTAAGGAATTTATTTTTAAAAAATGTGCATTGACTTTTCTATTATTGAATGTCTAAGCATGTTTCCCCCTAAGGGCACTCGGTATACCCATCACGCCCATAGGCGTTATCTTCACTTTGACGCCTGGGGGCGTTAAACACCGCCCCCTCCCCCGTTATCCGGGCGTTAAAACTCCCGCGTTATAGTTTTAACGCAATTTAAAGGCGTGATAACGCCTCTTTCTTCTTTTTTCTCCTTCTTTTTTCCTCTTTTCTTCTCTATAAATTAAATTAATTTTTTTAAAATTCAACACAAATACAAATTTCTCTATCATCTTTTTTAAAAAAATTATTATTCAACTATTTTTTTATGTTTTCATGAATGTAATTTTTTATTTAATGAATTTAATTTTTTTATTTAATGAATGTAATTTTTTATAATGAATGTAATTTTTTTATTTAATGAAAGTAATTTTTTATTTAATGAATATAATTTTTTATGATGAATACAATTTTTTTTAATGAACTATTCTCGTTTCAATTCTTTTAAATAATTAAATATTTAAATTTAATGAATTTAATTTTAGAAGATGTGTATTTAAAATGTAAAAAATGAAGGTTTGA